CCAAAATATAAGCAAAACATGAAATTTAGAAGGGAGGTTTGATATTCTAGTAACTGAAATTTGCTATGTGAATCTTATGTCCTGTCTTTTATGTTTAATAAATACCTTATTAGATTTTACTGTAAACATTTCCCAGGCAGTGGATTGCATTTCCCAGACCCTATAGATTTGAGTTGTTGGACAAGTTAGTGACCGCAGGGGACAACAGGCCCTCAACCAAGTGTTTTATAAGGGGGGGGAGGGAAAACTAGAAGTATTTGAAATCATATATATACATATATAATCAAATATCTGTAATCGATATTTTGATAACATTTCTCGTAATAATCCATCCTGACTCGCGGATATCATAGACTCACAAATCATAATGAACGAATTAATGAAAGGGCCTAACAAAAGACGTATAGAAGACTTTGAAAATGCCATTTTCGACGATTTAGAGACGCAAAATTTTCAAAATTTTTCCGCTCTGTGCCAACCATGGTGGCGTTTCGTGGGAGTCGGGAACTCTAAGTTTATCAAGCTGGCTGGCTCCCTAAGTGACGGCCAAGTTGTGGTATCTACATAAACATACTATGCAAGTACTTAACTGAAGGTTCAGTCTATCTACAGCATAATGTAATGCTGTATATCAAAAAATCTGTTTCAGAAAATGCAGGGAATTGCAGTCATAGGGGTAGAAAAATACAAAAATTTTCTGGGGGAGAAAACCCCAGACCCTCTCCAGGGCCGTAGCAACCGCGCACGGTGTGGGGGGGGGGGGCTGGGGGGCTGCAGCCCCCCAGTAATTTGCTAATAATCATTCATTTTTTTAAATCATGCAGACCTTTATTATTTAATCCATGACAAACTGCAAAGAATGAAGATATTACCCATACTTTCCTGCAACTTATCCAATATATCGTTAATTAAATACACCTTCGCCCATTTAGTACTACTGAACTCTAAATTTCCACATACTAAAAACGCTGTTTTTTGACAATCAGAAATCTGTCAAATCTTCCCCAAAGTCCAGGAAATGGCATTTCAGAGACTCTAAATTTAAAAATTTCCTCGGGCCGTCGGCCCTCGTTTTCAGCGCCCCCAAACGAAAAAAGCTTCCTACGGCCCTGCTCTCCCCTCCCCCCGACTATTAAATGCGATACCACACCAAACTTTTTGTTACCAACAAACCATCTATCATTGCTCCACACTCTGTATAGTATGGTCCCTTTTTGTAGATGCCCCCCCCCACACTGACGAATTCTTAAAAAATGCCCTGGGTACAACTGGCCTGAAACTTTAACATATTGATTCAATAAGTTTAATATCAACACTGTTAATTTCGGGGAGTTAATTTAACTCCGGTGGAGTTATACTGTACCTCAATTAACTCCAAATGTGGAGTAAAATTAGGTTCAGAATAATACCACTGGAGTTAAATTAACTCCCTGAAATTTACAGTGAATATATTTATTGAAAAATAGCTATTATGTCAAAATAACAAAACTTTTTCCAACTTTTCGCGACTGTTCATCTGTAGTTGCAAGGGACGGTAATAACAAGGTCAACAGGTCAAGGTTCGTCACTGATCGACTATTGGAAGTAAACAATGTTTATATTTTCCTACAAATTTAGTGAAAGTATAAAAACCCGTGGAAGCCGCGAATTACTATAATAGATTGAAAATAATTATTAAACTATGATCTCGACTACAGTATGATTGAAATTATCGAAGTAGAATGCTATTTCGTTGTATTAAATTTTCAGTAGACAATAGCTCGTTTATATTTTCAGAATGTGATGTAATTTTGAAATTTGAAGTTTTACACACAATATAATCAGTGCTAGCACAATGGCTTCGTTTCAATTTGAGCGTATAAAAAATTAGAATTTGATAGCGTGGCCTTTCACAAACATTAAATGCCTGATAATTGATAAATAAATATCAGTGCCACTGTGCGAGCACAACGGCACCAAAATAATAACAAATTGTCAAATAACAGAATATAAGCTAAATTAAAAACAGCAAAGCTTTACCTACCTCGATTTATTTTTCTAAGGCGCTAAATTACGTAAATTTTCAATGAAAACTCAATATTTTCTTTGCGTTTCCTCGACGAAAGCCGTGAAGAAAAGCATGCATATTGAAGTTTCAACTTTCACATACGAATCTGTCACGTGATTTACCACCGCCGGTACAACGCACTCGACATGAAATTTAGAGCTATATGAAACAAAAATAGCGAATTTGTCCATTTTGAAACCTAAAACAGTAATTTATCCCAAATGTGCTGCACATGCACAAATAAATCAAACTGAACAAATCATGGGCATGGAACTACGAGAATTTTAAAATCTAGTCCAGTCCTCATTGTCGAATTCGAAATATTACATAACATTTTGGAGCACCCATGCATGCATTGTTTTGACACCGATTGTCTTACATATATTCTCACAACCGCTGCGTGCCAACAAAATTTAAACTATTCAAACCATGAGCTCGAGTCGTACATGAGCTGATAGCCGACGAGGTGCGTAACGCCGAGTCAGCTATCAGTTATAAACGACGTGAGCGAATGGTATAATTATTCTATAAAACAGTCTAACAGCCATTAACTGCAGCAATAATACAGTGTATTCTTCGTCCACGCTAGTTTTTAGTTAATTCATATTTCTCAATTACCTTAAAAGTATAACCAGCGTGCGTGCTCATCTCGGCAGGCAGTTTGTAAGTAAACGCCTTTCCAACTACAGTTGCCATTTCATCAGGCTGGATGGTAAACGGAAGTGCGCCAATACAACAAGAAAACAACAAAAAGAATGTTGATATTATAAAAGCAGTTTTTGTGGGTCTATCTCCATTATAAAACTTCATCCTTCAATTTAATTATTCAGTATGTAAGTCTTCACTACTTTCATAACAATTTATGCACGAAGAAATTAACCTGAAAGAAAAACAAAAAATAACACTTAATAATAATTGGAATTTTAATTGATATTACCAAGGACAAAATACCTACACATCTACTACAGTAGTTAGCACTAAGAAAATATGATAATTAGCTGGCTCTTTGTTGGGGATTTGTGTTTAGGATTGGGGTATTGTGGGGTCAGAAGGCGGCTTTTCAACGCGCAATAGACAATTCCCATTATAGACTATTTTTTAACTTGTCAAAAAAAGTATATTCCCGGAAAGAGCATACAAAAATAAGTAAAATTGCAAAGTTTTGGTTGCGAAATGTTGTAAAATGCGGAAAATATAGCCTTGCAAATTTTGTATACTTTTGTATTGCGTGCGGAAATTCCCTCGGTTTTAGGTTTAGGAAAGATTAGGAGGGAACTAAAAACCGATGTGATCAGGAGCTTAGCAATGACGCATTTATATTTTGAAGTGTTGAAATTTGTGTGTGTGTTTCATGCTTTCGTCATGTTCCAATTCCTAAAGCTTTTGGACGGACCGTTAGAAAACAAAATCATGCGAAAGAGGAAACTAAAAATTCTATTAAAAGTCCACAAAGAATCTTGCACAGTACTTCCACTCTCAAAAAACAATTTCCTTCCCAATTGCTCAAAATTTCCCTATTTTTGAATTTTTGACAAAAATTTCCTTACACTAAAGTTGATGAATTGTACTTGTTAAAACTGATAGTAATATAGTATAATAATTTATCCTGAATAACGGTGTGTTTCTCGGGCTAAAGGATCATGGGAGGGATTGCCAAAGGGGAAGTTTGCCTAAACTTATTCGAAGTAGAAGGAAAAGGGGGGGGTTTGATATCAGATTTTCCCTTCCCCAGGACAAGATTTTCGACATTTTCTGAAGCGAATTTGCTAGGAAATTGCCGTAATCTTAGGATTTATTAGAAATAACGTATAATATACTTCTTATTTCCTTCCCTGCCATTTCCTTGTAAATTTTATTTCCTTGCACATTTCCTTGCAAAGGTTAAAATTTCCTTTTGCAAGGAAATTTCCTTGCAAATGGAAGCACTGATCTTGCAACCAGAAAATTCCGCCCCCCCCCCTTTTGTCATGGTCCATCCGACCATCCCTACTAAGATATATTCTGTGTGGCCAGGCACCCATTTATCACCTATACCATATAGATTATAATTGCCATCCTTTTGCAATGGACCATGTGATTTTTCTATTTCATTGAATTCTGAGGTAGTGACGAATTAATCCTCAAAGCAAATATGTTTATATAATTGATTAGAAAGAAATCACTAAAATCTGCTTTATATTGTTTGTTTACACATGAAGAAAGCTGTATAAACATGAATACGGCTGATATTTGTCTTGTTTAAACACATACATGAAACGTCCTTGACTTTTGAAAACCCAGACTCAAATAGAAAAAAACGGATTCGCGATGCATATACACGCATCACATATACTGTACAGTGATAACATTGATATCGAAGGAACTAGATTCTGTTCCGAAATATCACATACTCGAACCAACCAGACCGCGTAGCTCAGTTGGCAGAGCATTGGGCTAGTATTCCAAAGGTCGTAGTGTCCATTCCCACCATGGTCAGGCATATTTTTCAAGCTTGACCGGTGTGGATATACACTCAGAGTAACATCACAAGCATCATATTCACCTGAGTACATTACACCAACACAGAAAAAAATCATGACAGTAGAAGATGTTAATCTACTAATTGTGCTTTGTGCCATACAAAACTTCATGAGAATAAATTTGACAAGTCTCACGAACGTGTTTATTATTGAAGATGATAAATTCTTGATTCGGCATCTCGTTCGATGGTAATTGAATGTCATAATTGTAGATGGAATTGTCATTCAACTTTCGTTCGAAAATTCCAGTACAAATATGTCATTTACATTCAGGTACATCGAATGAGATACCCAAGCGGCCGGACGTGACCGATTTTGCCGAAAGACACTTTGCCGACTGAAGACATTTTGCCGAAAGACATTTTGCCGAACGGATATTTTGCCGAACGGACAACTTTGCGGAAAATATACATGTAGAGATATCTTCTTAACTTTAAAGGTTCGCTTACACGGTCAAACTTTGATGTCGATTTTCATGACAGAAACTTTGATAGTGAAGTATATAGTTTCGTTTCATATTCTTTCAAATCAAGTTTTGGACAAGTTTACCGAAATTTCGCGATATTTAGAATAACATCATTCATGAATGCGATTTCCCCGAGAACTGTGAATGTATTCCACGATTCTGGAAGTGAAATTCGCTTATGTCGTTGTCTTTATATACACATGTTTGTTTACGACCTGACGTTAAAACACGTTCCTAACAAATGAGTCATCCGCTGCACAATCAACTTACCAATAGCCAATATGGTTATGCACTGCTATAAAACGACATTATGCACTGTTAATGACCATATAATGGTTATTTTACAGTGGTTGAGAATTACACAGTTGAGAAATGAGTCACATCTCTATTTTCGGCAAGTTGTCCTTTCGGCAAACTGTCCGTTCGGCAAAACGTCCGTCGGCAAAATGTCCGTCGGCAAAACGTCCGTCGGCAAAATGTCCGTCGGCGAAATGTCCGTTCGGCAAAACGTCCGTCGGCGAAATGTCCGTTCGGCAAAGTGTCTTTCGGCAAAGTGTCTTTCGGCAAAATGTCCGAATACTGATACCCAAAACCTTGAATTTTGAATGTAGGCCTACATAGAAATATTCATGCTTGAATTATGAAAATTGATCGCTAAAATTTGAAAATCATGCCAGCAAATTTGAAAATCATGCCAGTTTGTAGGCTGTATAGCATGCATAAGGGCCAAAACAGACCAAACCAAAAATTTACTGAGTTACTCAATAAGTGTCAACCACAATGCGAATCATGTATATTTAAGACCATTTTCGGCCATTTTAACAGCGAACGTTCGTTTTTCAACATGCCCTGTAGCAGTCTACCTTCGGCCAGCCCACGCGTGCACGCCATGAAGTTGATTTGATACGTGTACTGACGCAAATCAAATTAAATAAAGTGAAAACGTGATTCAACATAGTCTTGGAATAAACCCATATAGAATAGCCTGCCCGCAGCCCAAAATTTCGTTCAAAGGAAAAAATAGAAAAAACTCACTGCAGTGATGAAAATTTGCAGCTTGAAATAAAAATAAATGAACTTATGTCGTTTATGGATCTTTGAATAAGAAACTTTTGTGCGTTTCGAATATCTGCATATATAATAATCATTTTATGTATGGTTGACAGCTTCGTATCAGAAACATATATAATTTACCAAAGCCCTTTGACTCTTTAAAATAAAATGGGCGGGTATAACACTGACAGGCACTTACTGTACTTGGTGCAAACTCGTTCATATTTAATTAGATTTTAAATTAATGAATAATGGTTATAAATAGAAGACCTCTTTCTAGCACAAAATGTCGCACTTGAAATGCGGATTTTATAATATATGGGATTTATAATTCAGTTTTTGCACAATATGAAGAATTATCAAGCCCTCAGTTTGCCGTTATCAACCTCAGCCTTCGGTTGATAACGGCAAACTGAGGGCTTGATAATTCTTCATATTGTGCTCAACCTCATTCAATAATTGTTACCGTAAATAATCAATCCCAACATTGATGCATGTAAATCCTACTTTGATGTATTAGGCCACATAAAAAAATTACTTGTTTAGCGTCCACCCATTTTAATTTTCCTAGGTCGGGCGGGCGGATTTTTTTTTTTCCGTAAAATGCAACACAAAATTCCGCTAAATGCAGGAAATCCAGTATATTACCACAGTCAAAACTCACTTTAATTCTTTCAAAATCCGTTCATGTTTTTTAATACCGTTCATGTTTTTAATAAAACAGAAATGATTACCGTTTGGCGGTCACGCGCGAACA